GTCGATATATGGGCGTGTAGTGCAGAGCCAGACTCAGTAGAGTACCATCTCCGTTGTGTGTCAGTCTTAAGTCCAGTCAGGTCGCCTGTGTGTTATGATGGCCGCACACAGCTTGCTTTCTCCGCTTGCTGTGTCCAGACTTTCTCTCTGTCTCCCTGTGTCCTGTGTGTGGGTGGCACTCCACGAGGTAAGACAAGGAAACATAATGGCGAGATTAAGCATTGCGTATAGATATGGGGTATAAATATTAACTTTTCTGGTCTTGGGTATAAGGTTAAATTGCTTTTTCCAAAAAAAGAAGTTAACCATGAATAGGAAAGGTGGAAACATTCGCTTATTAAAGAGATTTCAGACTTCTTTTTGAACGTACGCAGTGTTTAAGCTCATCACTTGTTACAGCGTGGCGTCTGGTTAACAGGCCGCGATCTACTGCCAGTGACAAGAAACGATAGTAATATTAAACATTGTTAAAGAAATAAGTGAATCAACTTTTCATTTCTTGTATGTATGATATGGTGCTGTATCTGTCTAACTTTAGTGATTGAACATGGCCTGTATGCCTAGAGATACAATTAGTAATGTCTTACACCTAGAATTTCTAGGTACTTTTGTTTCTTTGTCATTCCTGTACAAAAAAAGCTGAACTTCTTTAAATGCAGAAAATATTTGTACTTAGGTATTGTGATCACATTTGTTGACAATGGGCAATCAGAAATGCGTTCATCCAACACTATGTTGTCTAAGAATACAATGTGTCTCTGTGTCATTCTTCCAATGCTGTTCTGTGTATGTCATTGCTTCCTGTCTCTTTGTACTGCGTCGTGTCTTTCATGCTAACGTAACTTCTGAGCCTCCTTCGCTGTGTAGACCACCGCATAGATCGACGTGCCGTAGATAGCCAGAGAAGAAGTCGTGTACCCAACCCTCCACTGCGAAGCAGCCACCACCCAAGCGAGCAATGGCTAATTTTGTGACCCCTTTTTATTTCAGACCACTGGCTGCCCTGCCGTCCTGCCTTCATCATTCCCCTTCTCACTGCCTCCCGCCCTATATGTATATGTGCAGACTAGTTGTGGCAAGGTGATCTTAATTCCTCTATCAGTTTCCAGTCTAATGCTCAAGAGCCGCTCCAAGACCTGATGTGCTAACATGATTCTACAAACACGCCCCCTGCTTTATGTCACGGCCCCACCCCCTCACTTCTGCAGTCCCGAAGTTGGCCTCCTTCTCCCTGGCTCCTCTCTTTCTATGGGTCGCACACTCGTCTGTTGCCCCACGCTGGTCACTCTCCTGCTTTCGTTGTTAGTTTATTGTGTGACGCACACGACAAGAATTGAGAGTTCATTTTGTTCTCATTGGCTCCTCTAGTCTCAGCGTAGCATTATTGAACAAATTCACGGATGCTACAAACCTCTCAAAGATAACCTTTTCAAATCGACGTCTATATAATTACTTTGTATATAAGCAGAAAAATAAAGAAAATACTGTTTCATTTTCAGGGACCATAGGATTCTAAACAATTATCAAACATCCCAACATTTCCGGAGGAATTTTTTGTTTTTCAATTTTTTTTAAATGCCATATTATACGGGGTTTAGTTCAGGACTTCGACATGCTTTTAGATTTCGTGTTGAGTGAATTTTTTTTTAAATCGAGTATCTCCATCTATTTGCCTGGACGTTGTGGCTCCCTCAGCCCATCTCAAAATGATCTTCTTTGGGCCGATGGGTGCCTACAACATCTACAATTATTTTTACACTTCAACGACAGTATCAAACTATCTTTGTCTCAAACCAAGGCGACCTGTTCATTGTGCTATTTGTGCACAATCATGTTCTATCATTACTCTAAGTGCATGCAACATTTTTGTGCTCCCAGGAATATTTTATGACTCTTTATGTTTTCAGGATCGCAGCACGATATTATAGATAAATATGAGCTGATATATTAATCATCTATGAGCAAAAATGACCTGATGTCCTATTACTTTTTGAAATCAGTTCATTGATGAACAGGCTAGTTTTAGACTCGATAATTTAAAAATGATCTACCCCAGAACGCACATGCGTTGTACACCTAGTGGTTGTCCCTTCTTAACAATATTATTATTATTGTCAGATTATTCGCTGCAGACTTTTCGAACACACTGAGACTAGCTCATGAAGGCACATTAAGTTGACACCCCCCCAAAAAAAAAAAAAAAATAATAATAATAATAATATATTAAAAAAAAAAAAAAAAAAAAGTCAAATAAAATAAAATAATAAATAATAAAAGATAAAATACAATAATAATAATAATAAAAAAGAAAAATACATTTTTTCTAAGGCGGAGTTTTGACATACTGCAGACATACAAGTCATTCTCCACCCGACATTGTCTTCATAATAATATAAGGAATTACATTGTAATTCACTCCTTTTGGTCAACCAGGGATCAGTCTCTTTAATGTGGAAAAAAGCTCAATTCAGAAAAATATTGTAATACGTATTAAAATGTGGGCAAAAGCGAAAAAAAACCCACATAATCTTTTAGAAAAGATGCAAGATAACATACATTAGTTGTAGTTAGATGGAGAACAAGAAAAGAGAGAGAAGTTGGCACGTGTTGGAGTGGACTATAGCAGAGGTTCCCTAACGGGGGAGCATGAACCCCTGAGGTGAGTAAGCCAATCTCAGGAGGTTTGTGAAACGTTTCTGAAAGTCAAAACGAGAAGTTTTTGTTTCAATTCGGAATTTGATCTCAGTTCACTGTGGGTTCGTGGAGAACTCGGACAGCCACGGGTTGTTGTTGTTTTTTTGTGGGGTTTTTTTTTTTTTGGGGGGGGGGGATAGACTATGGAAACACAGAATGATATTACAGGAAAGCATTTTTTTAAAAGACTTGGGTCTTTATTTACATGGGTGGGTCCCATCATTTTTTATGCAGACTTTTAAAGGAACTTCTTTGTTTATGGAGGCGAACGGAGACCTAATTCATAATATGTACAATTTCTTTTAGCTGGGACAGCTCAGAGATGTCCTTGAAGAAGAAGTAAGTTTATAAAACAGTCTCGGGGGGGGGGGGGGTTAAAATATTGGAATTGAAAGACAAAATCAAATAAAATATCGTACAAAACTAAAGCTAAACTAGAGTTAAAAACAGAAAAAGCTTGAACTTTCATGTCTCTCTAATTAGGCAAAAAGCAGATCTAATCAGATTCCCCCCCCCCCCCCCCAAGACTGAACCTGCAGCCGTTTTTCTATTTAAAACTTGTAACGTATTCAAAGAGCCAACAAAAATAATAATGGGTTGCCTTAAGTATTAATGTAAAATCTTTCAAAACATTTTATACGATTTTTCTTCTCCTTTCCATTTCTCCTTCTCATCCTCCGTCTCCTTCTTCTTCTTCTCCTCCTACTCATCTGCCTCCTTCTTCTCCTACAAGGTCAAGAATAAATGTTTTTACATTCCACGTTATATCCATACTGACCAGAAATGCACAAAATTATATAGAAACTGGAAACGAGTATAAAGAACGGATACACCCATTCCCCATGATGCGCTACCCATGCAAATAAATAACACAGAAGACGTATTCTACGCCTCAGAGATAGTAATAAGTTATTCATAAAGGTCTCTACGTCTTCTGCCACAACAAAGCTGAAGCTTCTATTAAATTGTATCACGTGGTCGCTGCTAGCTACGTCATCAGTTACAAAAATAATGCATTACGTGCAAGGCCAGCGGGACTCGCCCTCATTCTGCAAGTCCCACAAGGGAAAAAAGAGAACATTTCAATTTTGTCATTTCAGTCCAGGAAACAGTGTGACGCGTCTCTGTGGTGTATTTTTGTATTAAAGTGTTTTGTCGATAATCAATGGTCTACTTTTTCCCCCTACATTCCAGACAAGAATTAGAGCGCATCCCGAGGAACACAACAGTGGGGTCCCAGGCCATTACTAGATACTGAATATATAATCTGTTTGATGGTTTTCTTTCCACTCTTCCCCGAGTCTCCCCCCCCCCCCAATTTCAACTCCCAACCACCCCATTTCTTTTCTTCATTCATGCACGCACTCACAAATTCACAAATAAATTCAAATGCAATTTCACAAATTCAAACACACACACTCAAACACACACACACAAACACACACACACACAAACACACACGCACAAGCACACACACACACACACACACACACACACACACACACACACACACACACCACGAACAGCCTACCCATCCCTCCCAACACGCACACGAGACCCCCCCCCCCACACACACACACATAGACACACACATCATTTTTCTTGTGAAATGATCGACTACTCACAGAGGCAGTCTCCATAATACTTCAGACATCCTCGTTACCTCTTCTTTCATGATCGGCAGTCGAGCGAAAACGATGACGTCACCAATATCTGTTTGATTACCGTGTTTCCTTTTCTCTGCTCCTCCATTTCCGTGGGTTTCACTGCCACCAATATTACGTTCTTGACTGCTGACGGATCAATGTACCCCCCCCCCTGCCTCCGCTCTCCAGCTGCTACCCCCACTCTAACCGTTATCTCTTTTGCACCCAACAACCCCCAACCCACATCCCAGCCGCTTTCTTCTTCACCCCCTCACCCCAAACCGCCCCGTCCCGTCTAAAAACACAAGCACCACAACCACTTTTCTTCACAAACTGTATTGTTTTAAAAGATGTTCCTATTCCAGTTCTTCAGAGAATCTTCAGACGTACAGAACTCAAGTTGCTTGGTTTAACAATTTCTTCTATTCACAGACGAGATCCAGCTTTTTCGTACTGTGACGTCACTACGTAAACGATACTTTTTCTTGCTTCTTCTTTTGCTTTACCTTCGGCACTTTTTCTGACTTTTATCGAGGTGTGGGTGTAAAAGATGTCACTTCCGAATTATGTATTGTATCGTGCTAAAAAAACGACAAATTTACCAGTCATTTTATTAGAGCTTTTGTTTATTTATTTGTGGGTTTCGTCTGTGCTTGGCAGAACTCCGTGAGCCGCCATATTGGGCCCACTATTCCCACGGGCGTCTGCTCATCCACACGGTGATCAACAGCAAATACTTCGACTTGGCCATAGCGGCGGTCATTGGCCTCAACGTCATCACCATGGCCATGGAGTCTTACATGATGTCAGAGGTCAGTTATTTATATCGTCATCGCCATTTCCACAGACGCTTAATACCGGTGCCCGTTACGGATGGGATCAGCGGGTCGGGCCGATCGCCCGACTCGTCACCTGAAAACAAACGCGTTTGTTTTTGAGGCAACGAGACGGACGCGATCGGTTTGTGCCACCATAACCGCTTTCCACCTTCAAAATGGCCCTCAAACTGACCCGACCCGACCCAATTCTCCCAAAGGGGCACCCGGTATAAGTCATTAAAATGATTCTACGAAGTGAATAACGAACCGGGGTGAAACTATTATACCGGGGTGAAACTACTTGTAATATTGCAAGATGCCCCACTGTGTTTTTATTCGAATAAAAAAATTGTATAGGAACCCCCCCCCCCCCCGAGAGTTTGGTGTGGTGTGCAAAGTGGGGGTGTGCACTTCCTCATTCAGTTGTCGAATTGCAATTTACACGATCAGTCCGAACAAAAAATCAGAATCTGCTTGAAAGCTCCTCTGGCGAGGAAATTAATTTCGATAAAGTTAGTAACATTAAAAAAGTAATGATAAAAGGAGGAATAAATCACAACAACATCAATAACATGCAAGTAAAATATATGCTTTAACAATAAAAGGATTTTTCATATAATGTCTAGGAATTGTTTTCTTATACGAACTAGCTATTTCTTTCAACTGGCAGCACCATTGATCGAACTGAAAGCAATGTACAGCTAAAAAGACACGACGCTCTTTGTTGGAATAATTGACAGATTATGTTTGTTGGCTAAATCATCGACTTTATAAATAGTATACATAATATATTAATACACATATAAAGAGAGAGAGAGAAAGAAAAAAAAGAGAGAGAAAGAAAGAGAGATGTACAAATATGAACGTATTGGTGCGTTTATATGGGTGTGCCTACATGTATTTGTGTGTGTGTGTGTGTGTATGCGCACGCGCGAGCACGTTTGTGTGTGTGGGGGGGGGAGTGTGTGTGTATGTGTGTGTGTGTGTGTGTGTGAGAGAGAGAGAGAGAGAGAGAGAGAGAGAGAGAGAGAGTGTGTGTGTGAGAGAGAAAGAGAGAGAGAGAGAGAGTATGTAAGAGTCTTTATCTATAGACATAAATCATGTAAATAACATTTAAAATTTTAAATATTCTTTTATGATGTTTTCCTCAGGAGCTAGAATTTGCTTTGAAGATTTTCAACTTCTTCTTCACAAGTGTCTTCATCTTGGAAGCCGCCATGAAAATTGTCGCCCTTGGATTCCTCCGCTACATCCGAGATAGGTACGATTTCTTCTCGTGGTAATACGGGGTGCCCACTACGGATGGGATCGGCGGATCAGGCTTATCGCCCGACTCGGTCGCATTAAAAACAAACGTGTTTGTACTCAGCTTCAGGAGACGGAGTCGGACGATCGCTCCGATCTAGCCGTAATGGTGCCCCGTATTAGATATCTCTGTCGTAAACAAACAAATAGAAATGGCATCATTCTTGATTTTAGATCACGGAATATGGAAGACTATGCTTACTTTAAATTTAATTAATTTATTTTTTGTATTTATTTTTTTTATTATTTTTAGTTGGTAATGCATTTTAGTATATTAAAACTCACAAATGTTCAGACATGTACTCCCATTCGCATGAATATTAATTTTCTTTTAAATCTTATTTTTGCTATAGCAACTTAGTAGTAATATTATTATATAATAGAATCCTAATTGTTCTATCTGGTAGTGTAATTTCTTGCTTTTTTATTTGGCACACCTGTAATCTTCGGCACGTATGTGATCTATTATGTTGCGAGTGCCGTAAAGCTCTTCATAAAACCAAACTAAACCTAACGAGTAAGTCACATGCGTGCGTGTACGTATGTGCGTGTGTTCATTTTGTGTGTGTGTGTGTGTGTGTGTGTGTGTGTGTGTGTGTGTGTGTGTGTGTGTGTGTGTGTTTTATGTGAGCATGGTGAAACATTAAAACCTCTGTGGCAGGAAATGGACAATAAAGATGTATCTTATCTTATTTATCTTATCTCATCCTATCCTATCTTATATTATCTTCTTTTCTTATCCTATCTTGTCTTATCCTATCCTATCCTGTCGTATCTTATATTATTTCATCATATCTTATCTTATTTTATCTTAACTTATCACATTTTATCTTATCTCATCTTATCTTATCATACGTGTTGTTGTTGCAGATGGAACCAGCTGGACATCATGATCGTCATCCTGTCGGTAGTGGGCATCGTCCTGGAGGAGATGAGAACAAACGTCATTCCCATCAACCCGACCATCATTCGGGTCATGAGGGTGCTGCGTATTGCTAGAGGTACAATACGGCGGTGTTATTAATATTTATTATTATTGTTATTATTATTTTATGGTTATTATTATTAATTCTAGTTCTTGTTCTTGTTTTTCTGCTTGTTCTTCTCATTGTTCTTCTTCTTCTTCATAGTAGTAGTAGTAGTAGTAGTAGTAGTAGTAGTAGTAGTAGTAGTAGTAGTATAGAAGGATAATACATACATCAATAAAGGTAATTTACCTTCTCAAGAATCCAATGCTGTTTTGATTTTCTACCCATGTTTTCGCTTCTGACACTAATTGTTTTCCTTCATGTTTATTTGCCAACTGTTAAAATGAATGAGTTTGATTTTACTCACCTATTTTACTCACCCTTTTCATTCCTCTTTAGTGGGCGGTTGGCGGGTGCTCTGGTGTGGTTTGATTCTTCTGTCCTATCAAACATCTATCGTCCTTATCTCCCCTTCTTCTCTTTTATGCTTGTTACTCTCTTGTAACACCTCCACTCCTCTGGCGCTCATATTACCTTATGCAGTTGCGAGCGCTGTAAAACCTCTACTTAAACTAACTAACTCCTCTTTATCCAGTTCTGAAGCTGCTGAAGATGGCCAAGGGGATCCGCGCTTTGCTGGACACTGTGATCCAGGCTCTGCCTCAGGTGGGCAATCTCGGCCTGCTGTTCTTCCTTCTCTTCTTCATCTTTGCTGCCCTCGGAGTGGAGCTCTTCGGACGTCTTGGTGAGTCTCGTGAAAGGTTTGGGTAAATCCATGAAACAAACAGTTTTCTAAATCGATGACATTATAAGGGGTTGTATGTATTCACGAAACAATGTATTTTATAATAGATATAGATCCTTGAAAAGGAGGTTGCTTATACAAAGCCATGAAACAAAACGGTTTTTATTTGGTGTTTGGTTTTATTTCTTCTAAAAATTAATTAATCAAACAAGAGTTATATAAATGTGTGTAATGAGTGGTTTATGATGTCGTGAAACCAGGCTTTTAAAAATAATTTTGTGAACTAATCATAACACGGTTTGGGCTTGGATGTATGGTACTTACGGGATTTTTTCCTTTGTTTATGTCTACATAGTTCTCTCTCTCACTATCTCTATATCTCTGTCTCTCTGTCTCTCTGTCTCTCTCTCTCTCTTTTGCTCCCCTCCTCTCTCTTTTCCTTCCATCCCTGCTCTATGTGTGTGTGTGTGTGTGTGTGTGTGTTTGTGTGTGTGTGTGTATGTGTGCAGGTGTGTGCGTGTGTGTGTATATGTGTGTGTGTGTGTATGTGTGTGTATGTGTGTGTGTGTGTGTGCGTGTGTGTGTGTGTGTATGTGTGCAGGTGTGTGTGTGTGTATGTGTGTGTGTGTGTGTGTGTGTGTGTGTGTATGTGTCCGTGCGTGCGCGCGCGTGTCTGTGTTCGTGCCTCTCCCCCCTCTCTCTCTCTCCTGTTGAGTGCCTTGTGTCATCATGTTTTCCTATCACACTGTGACGGTTGTTGTAGTTACGGTCAACTTCTCTTTTAACCAATGGCGTCAGTGGCCAAGTGGTTAGGCTAATGGATTCGGCCCAACGTTGCACCCTTGGAAAAAGCACTTTACTTGAATTTCCCGTTTGGCTCCGTCTTTTCGAGGATGTACAATTCGGAGGCCCCGCCTCTTAAATAACCCAACAGTGTTGATAGAGGTGTTGAACCTATACCATTACACGATTGTTTTCTTTTAATCGACAATCACCCACATTATTTCGTCATCTTGTCACCCCAGAATGTTCCCGAGAGCACCCGTGTGAGGGTCTGGGCATCCACGCTCACTTCGGGAACTTTGGCATGGCTTTTCTGACATTGTTCAGAGTCGCCACAGGGGATAATTGGAACGGCATTATGAAGGTATATATAGAACATCTCAATGTGTTTCTAATGTTAGTTAATAATAATGATAATAATAATAATAATAATAATAATAATAATGATGATAATAATAATAATAATAATAATAATAATAATAATAATAATAATAATAATAATAATAATAATAATAATAATAATAATAATGATAATAATGATAATAAATGAATTTATAACGCGGCAGTTAAGACATAGTAAAGACTTTTTCTTTCTTTGAGTTTTCCTTCTGAAGAAAAAAATTGAAAATTCCAAAGCGCTTGTCATCTTTGTAACGGATTGCCAAAGACATTTTTCCTTGAGGAATTTGGTTTTCTCATGACAAAAAACTCAAGCAAATGAACAAAACATAGAATACCCCAATACTGTTCCTATTATTGTAAACGAATAATAAAGATCTTCATTTTTGCCTTATTGCAGATCCTCAGTCTTCATTTTCTCAAAAATTATATACCTTCACTTTCTTTCTCTTTGTTCTTTGTTTTCTATTGAGCCGTGAGTCTTCTTTCTCTCTGCTTTGACCAAAATGCCCTCTTTACCTAGCACATTTTGGACAAAGCAGCCCTGAGGCGACGAATATCCTGTGTTTTTCCATCAATCCGAACCTGATATCTTTCCCCAGGACACGCTGAGAGAAGACTGTGACCGCTCGGACAACTGCTTGACCAACTGCTGTGTGAGCCCACTCATCGCCCCCGTCTACTTCGTGGTGTTTGTGCTGATGGCGCAGTTTGTGCTGGTCAATGTGGTGGTGGCGGTGCTCATGAAACACCTAGAGGTACGTGTGTCACTCAATTACTCACGCACTCACCCTCTCTCATTCTCTCACTTATTATTATCACGATCACTCATTATCATGATCGCTCACTCATTCTCTCGCTCGCTTACCTTTTCATCTCTTGCACTGCAAAAATGGGAGTCGGGCACCCTCAGGTCATACTAAATAGCCCATGATGAGACATGCGTTAGCTTTTCTGGAGCAAGGATTGTTTTACTGGAAGTGGTTGCTAACCCTTCGCCTAACCCTGCTCCTTTCTCAGTCGGGCTTGGGACCGTCCTTGGTGGAGTTAATAAGACATACTCTCTACGCAAAAGAACTTGTCATCATTATCATATTATCGAAGTCTATGAAGCACAGTCAAAATTGTTTTAAAAATTCACCCTTTTTCGAGGACAAAATATATAGCGGAGAGGGGTTGTTTGTACAGGTGATTGTTATGCTGTTTTGGGAAGGGGACTATTAAATCAGGTTCACCATCACACGCGAAAGATGGCAATTTAAGCCCTGGGTGAGTAAGTTTTATGTCGAGTATGTCTGTCTGTCTGGTGGGATTCTCAACTCGGGTTGACCCTGGCTGCCACTGCCTAAAGCCCCCCTTCCTAAAAGATATAATCTGGGCTGGTGGAGCTGTAACATGTAACCATAGAGCGTTCGTTCAACCCATACCTTATGATCAAAGTAGGCCCGATGAGGTGGTCGACTCCTCTGCCTTAAAGTATCATTCATTTCGTTCACTTTGCCCGTGTTTGTAGAAAAAAGCAAACTATTATGTAGGTACTTCTTACTGCATTGTTTTGCTGCCTATATTCTTTTATAAGACACGCCATTGACATTTATTTAGGTGTCTTCTCAACTATTCTCTTGTCTCCTTAATCTTGTGGGAACACACGTGGGTATAAGCAAATGATTAATGATTTTATCATCTACTGCTCTCGAGATCTTTCTCTTTCAACATATTTTGCTTGCTTAAAAATTTTCTTATTCAATCCATTTATTTTGGACATTTTTTAAACCGCCTTTAAAAAAATTTTCTTCATCACATTAAGTGTTTTTTTCATTCATGATTATTTCATCTCATGCTCTCGGCAAAATTTGCTCGTTTTTTAAAAACGTATTTTATTCATTCATATTTTTTCTTAACATTTCAAAACCGTGTTATAAGCATGTCTTACGCGGCCATACGTCGCTTCCACCTTTATAATATAACATCGTTCAATCGTAGTCCTTGTTGGAATGCTGCAGTCCATAGAACATAGACCATCGAATTGTATTATAATATCCTAAATCGTGCACTTTGACGTATTTCCGATGCTTTACAGCATGCATCTTTTTACCCAGATTGAGCCACATGAAAGGCAAAGGGGAAAGATGCCTCGTATACTCACTACTTGACGATAGTGAGACTAGCGTGTCTGCCTTCCATGTGTAACGGCATGGCCCATAGTCTGCATACTTTGCAGTAAAGTTTTTATAAAGAGCGAAGAATGGAAGCCATGACAGTGCACGGTTTAGGAGTATAGTAGGTACAAATCTATGACACGGACTAATAAGCATCTAATAAGCGCTTGATAGAATTGCATGGTGTTATCATCTAAAGCCACATATCTGCACAGCATGACACAAGAGCGATGTTGACTTGGAAACAATAATACGTTGGTTTAGCATAAACACTTAATTAATTAAGTTCAAGGAGATACCTCGACTTTGTATGTAGTTATCATGTTCATCAATTTAATTTAGACAAATGTGCCCTATTCTTTATAGGGCATCGTGGACTTAATGTTTCAAGTAACGCATTTCTGCTAATGAAAGTAGATGCCAATGAATATTTCAAAAATAAACTGGTATGGTCTCCTTAGGATCGTCGAGCAAAGGAGTATTGTCTTTGTACAAATACTACAGAGTTGAACATTGTTACTTCTCGAATTTATGAAGGCCATTGGTCTTTCCTCCTAAATTAAGATAATGTTACTTTTTAAATTTTATCTTTCGGTTTTTTTTTACTTACTACTGTCTTTCAGCCATACCCCTGATGTTACCTAGCCTTCTCGGAAAAGGGCGAAACATGTCGGAGGTCCCGTGTGCAGGTTCCGCACGTTATGGATCCCTGCCTTGGTGGTTCTAAAATCGATAAAAAAATAGCCTTCAGCTGCCACACGGGCTAAATTCAAAACTAATTTCTACCAAACTGAAAATGTTTAATGAGTCCCGAGAGCTCATATGACCTTGTTATGCAGTTGCAAGCACCATAAAACACTTATCAAAAATAAAAAAAAGAAATCAACCCTCGTGCTTATTTGACCTTACGAAGATGCGAGCGTCGAAAAACTGACCTAAACGAAACTTTGTTAAATTATTTCAACACTTTTTATTGTGTGTGTTATGCACCATGTCAAAACATTTTTGTAGATAGCCGAGCACATTTTTGTTCAATGTGGTTCAACAAAAACAGTTATAAGGTATATTTTTAAGCCTTCCTTTCCAATGTTCGGCAGTATATAAGGATAACTGAGAACTCTTGTTTCCATTGTCTGTATCTTCGTGTGTCATGCTGTGTCAGACCAGACACCAGCGCCATCTCATCCTGTGTAAGTCGTGGCGCTACATGTCTAGATATAATATTGATACACAACTCTGTTGCTTCATTCGAGAGTCTATTGACCAGGTGTTCACAACGTCGAAAGCAAAAGTATTCCTTCACACTCAAAATGAAATAGAGTAAAAGGTGTGTGAAGGAGGGCATGGGGGCGGGGAGTTTATCAGACTCATGAATGTAGTCACAGAGTTGTAATTTTCACTGATAGCATGATGTCTGCATGTGTCTACATGTCGTGAGTCTTAGTGGGCAATCCGGGTAATTGTTATGAACGACATATTGTTTTTATTATGAGGCTTCACGGATTAGAAATGCTGAGGCCAAGACAGCGAGGAAGCCTGAAAGCTAGGGCATCCCTCGAGTGGAAATGAAGCATTATATGTATGGTAAAAATGTCGCAAACTCTTCTCAGCCAGGATTGGTATCATTGCCAAAGCAGAAGGCACAACCAAGCTTAATTCTTACTTCATTGGATTTTTTTTTAAAATTAAGAAATATAATCCGCTGCAGATACATTAGTCATCGGCAGTTATTGACAGCCAAACTATATTATTTTTTATTATAATGAACAATAACATGCTTGTTTCCTGCCTATTATGAGATTTGGACTACGAGGAGTGGGTAATTGGAGGGAACAACATGTGTGCAGTAACTGTCTGCAACAGATGATTGGTAAAGGGAGTGTTGTCAGTGGCGTGGGCTAGGAGGAGGTATAAGTATGAACACATTTATATGAAAAAAGGTGGGTGTTTGTATGCGGGGGGAGGGAGGTAAAAATTAAAGAAATAAGGGAATAAAATACGTAAGAAATATTATTCGCATGTCGTTCCAACTTCGATTGTATTCCAATATCGAGGGAGGTACTGGAACGTAGCCCAAATATTATGTGAGGAAATCCTAGTTGATGCTGGTGTTGGAATGGACTCCTAGGGGGGAAGGCAGGGGGTAGGGAAGAGTAGGAAAGTTATATTGATAGCTTGCTGGGACAAATTACGTCAGTCGTTGCCCGTGTTCATGGGGGGAGGGGTTGGGGACGGTAGCTAGTTTAGTTACACGAATTGGTTACGGAACAGATATTGTCAGTCATTGGGTGTGTCTAGGCCAAGGCATCCGAAAATTTAATTCCGTTCGTTCTGGTATCCTGGGTCCTGGCCTGTTGGTTTGAGGCAGAAGGGTGATTATAGTTAACCGGATTGCATGCTGCACAGACATTTTCAGTCGTTGGGTGTGTTTAGGCCCATTGAGTTTTGGGAGAAGGGTGAAAATAGTTACCCGGATTGCTTGCGGCACAGACGATGCCTGTGTTTGTTTGCGTGTGTCCATGTGTCTATGTGGTGTGTGCGCTGATCTTCTAGGAGACGTACAAGTACAAAGAGCTTGACGACGAGCTGGAGGAGGAGCTGAGAGCTGAGATGTGTGCCCTGGCGCTGGCCGGTAAGACGGTGCCGGACTGCTCGGACAACAAGGTGAACTTTTGCTCTCTCTCTCTCTCTCTCTCTGTC